AGAATAATTACAAACAATGTCGAATTATAGGTATGAAAAATAGAAAAAAATTGAGTATTACCTTTTATTTTTTCTATGTTAATAAAAACAAAAACTTATTAACTTCAAAAACATGACTAGCAATTAAAATACAAAAATATGTACAAAATTAATCTAAAGTATAAAAATAATTAGAAATATTAATATACCAATAGATAAGAAGTTGATCTAATTTTAGTAGCAAAATGTTAAAAAAATTTTTATCCAATAAATGATACACTTTCTTAAGGTCTCATTTTAGTAATTATCTATGGAATGAAATCATATACATTCGTATAGACACTAGGCAAACCAGCAGGACCACAATTACTAGGACCAACGGATACGATTCCTACGGCTGTCCATATTTTATCATCATTAGGTAAGTCACGAAAACCCATAAGTGGATCACCGGAATCTCCATAACATGTATCTCTACCTTTTTCACCACCGGCACGAATTTGTTCGACACCAAACTCTCTCTTCAATAGATATCTGTACAAACTATTGTACGAATCTTTGTCAAAGAGTGGTACCAAAACTTTAAGATGAACACGTCAAAGTTTTACCCCAACCCGCTACATACAATATTTTATTGATTATAGAAGATCTAGGTAAACAAATAGGTTTAACATAATCAGTCGAAATTATGTCTCTTGATAATCGCACTAATCCTATGTCATATTCCTTATTTCTGGAAACCTGTATGTATAATTCATGATTGATGGTTTCCTCGATCTCAACTGTTATCGGATCATCTGAGCATGTAATTACGTCATCATCGCGTTTAACGCAATCCTTAGTTGAATTTAGATCGTGCTCGCCTAATCTCACGTTTATTAATTTCCCATAGTTTATGTTATTCAAGCAATGAGCTGCAGTTAGAACATAACGGTTTGTAATAAGAGTTCCTGTGCAGTGATGTATTGTTTTGTTTCCTAAAAAAAATTATTAAAGAAAAATGTGAATTTATAAATCTTATAAACATGAAATATTAAATAAAAAGATATTTAATTAGGGATTTCATTACTTTCAATGCACATGAAATTATTTTACAAGTGTGAATCAATATATTTAATTTTTTCTTGTTCCCATAAGAAATTCTTAGATAAAATTTGGATTTTTGAATAATATAAAATAATAATAATAATGCTCACCATTTTTATATTCCTGCAAGGTTAACCATAGAAAATTCACCAGGGGTTATATCTACAGCTGTCAAATCGCGAGGTATCGAATCTCTTTCACAGTCGCATGGTAGCAAGCATGGATCATTATTATCTACATTTTCCAATGTGCAATTTTTGCTCTTGGAATTCAATAAATATTCTATCGTATATATAATAAAACCAAAAGAAGAAAAGGAAATAATACGCTCATACAATATTAAAAAATTTAATTTTTATACTATATAAGTAAAAAGAATGATATTGTGAATACAAAATAATACAAAATTTCCAACAGCTCGTTCTACCAATGTTAGCATGTACACGTTCGATCTTCAAACAAAACGATCTTATAATTACTACAGTTATTATTACGCGATTCGTGTATGTATATGTTTTTTGTTCAAAAACATTTTATACATTTATTTATACCTTAAACAGTATTGATAGTATCTGTCATTGATATATATATCTTGCTTTGATATTAATTAATTGAACAATTATATTATGGATAAATTGCTGCAATACATACAAATAAAAAAGAAAAAAAAATTAGAAAATAAATTTAAAAAGGAATTTAAAAAAAAAAGAACAGCTGTTGGGCACAAAGAACTTATAATGATTATTAATACGATAATTTAAAGAATAATGAAAGAAGTAAAAGAAAAAATTCACAAGATTATAGGAAAGAGATATCTTTTACTCGCAGTCCGTATTTGAAAATAATAAATCTATTACGTGAAGAACRAGGAAGAAAAAATACGAGAAAATAAATGGATATATTACTTACGTGCAATTGTGTTAGTGCACAATAAGAATGATAATGTTATGACAAAGTTGCAAAATGAAATTTACATCGTTGCGTCCTTTTTTTTCTTTTTGACATCGTTTGATCACTTGATAATTTTGCGTGTATAATATTATTTTATTTCTTCTTTGTCTTTAAAATTAAGTGACAAGATTGAATTATTTCACGACTATGTCGCTTAGCCAACTGATCATGGAAGTCATAATCACCGATATTTATGTAATTTTTTACGATGAGGGATGAAACTGATAAAACCAGTTTTCCCCCCGATTCCCAATCCCACTTTAGTCTTATCATTATATCAAGTTCTCTGTTTATGTTCTTTGCGAATGTGAGAGAATTTTTCCTTCTTTCTTCACATTAGAGAGAGAAATATAGAAAGGGAGGGAGAAGGATAGGAGTGGTGGGGGAACAAAATTAGAATAAAAAAGGGGGTTTTAGTAGAGGAAGAGTAAAAGAAGGAAGTAACATTAATCAAAAGTTATAAATTGACTGACAAAAAAGTATATCTTATACTATTAACCATTTGCTTTTTAATCGGTTTTTGAATTTTTTTGACATAGTAGGAAGTATAGGTAATTTCACTTTCGTGTAAATAACACACACACATACATCACGAAAATATTTATTCAAATACTCAGATACTGAAATAATCAATTTAAAATTACATATAAGTGTATATGCACATTAGTAAACTATCACTTAAAATGTAAACGTCAAGAGCATCGTATTTGTGACATGCTGCACATTGAAAATTACGTTATCTTAAAAATGGCGCATTATGAAGTAAAAATTTAATCGATATCAAAATATAGATATGAAATTCTTGTCTGACATTAAGTATTATAAAATTAAATTATATTTTTGTTAAATTCGCTTAAAAATAAACGTAAGAGAGCTGATTAAAAGTCAATTAAAATGTTTTTTAATGTCGAGTGATATTCTTTATGGGAATTTCCAAACGATATATTAAGTTCTTATCTAGTTACATTAAAAATATTATAGATAAGCTGAAAAAGGAAATCCTAAGATCGAGTATCCGCTATCGGCTATTTCGTTTGCATTGAAAATATAATATTTTAAGCAATGATGAAATGAGCAAATATTGTTCAGAATGAAATAAATAATATTAAGTATTTCTATAATTTTCTACTACAGAAAATAGAGTCGAACTTTCATAATGATAATGTTATTGACATTTATACTATATTTTTTTTTTTAATTTTTATTAACCCCAGTTTGAACGATAACCTTAAGAGGTAAAATGATCATTATATATCATTTGGTATATTTAAAAACTTTCTCCCGATTTAATATTGATCGAAATATTGTTCGAATTTTAATTCATGTATTAAGGAGAATAATTACGAACAATGTTGAATTATTCGTATGAAAAATAGAAAAAAATTGAGTATTATCATTTATTGTTTCTATGTTAATAAAAACAAAAACTTATTAACTCCAAAAACATGAAAAACAATTAAAATACCAAAATATGTACAAAATTTATCTCAAGTATAAAAATTATTAGAAATATTATTATACTAATAGAGAAGTAGTTGATCTAATTTTAACAGCAAAATGTTAAAAAATTTTTATCAAATAAATGATACACTTTCTTAAGGTCTCATTTTACTAATTATCCATGGAATGAAATTATATACTTTAGTGTAAATACTAGGAAAACCAACGGAACCACAATATTCATGACCATAGGATTCGATTCCTACGGCTGTCCAAATTTTATCACCATTAGGTAAATTCCAAAAACTCATAAGTGGTCCACCACCATCACCAATACATCCATCTCTCTTTATTTCGCCACCAGCACAAATTTGTTCAAAGCTTACTGTTGCGTTCCATCCAAAACCGTAAATTGTTTGGCACAAATCTTTGTCAAAGAGTTGTACCGAAACTTTACGTTTAACATTTGAAGATGAATTCTCTAAAGTTGAACTCCAACCAGCTATATACAATTCATTATTGATTATAGAAGATTTAGGCAAACAAATAGGCTTAATATAATAAGTCGAAACAATGTCTTTAGATAATCGTACTAATCCGACATCATAATTAAAATTTATTTCGAGATGTATATCAAATAGTTCATGTATGAATGATTCCTCGATCTCAACACTGATTGAACCATCAGAACATATATTTCCGTCATCACCTTTAACGCAATTCGTAGATAAATGCAAATCATGCACTCCTAATCGTACACTTGACAATACCCACGGTGGACGTTCTATCAAACATTTAGCTGCAGTAAGAACATAGCGTTTGCTTATAAGTGCTCCTGCGCATTGAAATTTAGTATTGGTTCCTGAAAGTAATTATAACAGAAATATGTGGATTATTAAAAACTATACACAGAACCTTTAGACAATAATATCTTAAATACAGGATTTGTTTAGCATTTAAGTTAATAAATTACTCTTGTAAATGTTAATAGTTACATTAAATTTTATTGAATAAAATATTCTTAGTCATATTATTAAAAAATCTGGATTTATGGATGATAATAAACTAGAATAATAATACTCACCATTATCATACTCCAATAATACCAACCATGGAAATTCGCCAAGGGTAGTATTTGCCGATTTTAAATCACGAGGTGTCGAATCTCTCCCGCAATCACTTGGTAACAGTGGATTATCGAGCAACTTGATGATAGCGTCATTATTATTTACATTCTCTAATGTGCTAATTGAAGTTTCTGTAGTTGTTACTAACGGTTTATTCAAATTGAAATTAGAAGAATTAATTTTAGAAGGGCAGCATACGAGTGGAACTAGTCCATCGAAACCACAGTGAGAAACTTTCAAATTGTCAATAACTTCTTGATAAATAGGTTTTTCTATTAGTTTTTTTAATAATGGTGTACATTGATGTATGCCAATACAATGTCCAGCAATTCCATTTAGTGTAGTACAATTGGGTGAATCTGAATTTTCTATGGAAGAAAAATGGATTTTATGAATTTTCAAGAATTAGGAATTTTTCAAACTTCTTTTAGTATATTGTATAATTATGATGATGTTACTTATTCAAATTTATGTTTCATTTCGGAAGATTCCAATACTAACGCTGCTAATATTATCTTAACATATGATGTTTTCATCTGATATACTAAATTATCTGAATAATATACGATATTATTATAATAAAAGTATATATATTTTACGTAATAATTTAATTTTTCCCTAAACAGATTATAATTTATTTAATTCAATAAAGGCTTTAAGTTAATCTAAAAATAATGGATAACCTTTTCCCCAATCTAATATTTGCCTACTCTATTCTCTTATAACCGTATAACCGTCTTTCTTTTCAAAATCTTCTATTTATTCTGTTTATTTTATGTAATTATCACGATAGAACCATCTTTCTTTTCGAACCCTCTAATTCTTATTATGTTTATGCTTATGTTTATGTTATCACATTTAAATTAAAGAAAATATATTTTGTGGCAGTTATAGTAGCGGATTGACGTAGTTTCTAAGAAATTTTCAAATTAGAAACATTAAAAATAACGACCGGTCATATAGGTCGGTATATAAAGGTATATCACATATATATATCAAAAAAATGGAAGTAGATAATAAAAATAATTTAGAATATTATTAAATACATGAATTCAGAAAAAGTCATAACATAACTATAAAATATTAAATAAAATTTCAAGAAAGATCTTGTGAACAAATGATACTACCGGTCATTTTGACCGGTCGGTAGTTCTAGTGTTAACAATGAAATACTATGATTCTTTCAAATCACTGCATCTTAAATACTGCAAATATAATTTTTTTATCAACGTTATGGATTATATTTAATTGCAACGATTCAAGTTTTAATGAATGATTTCAAAAATTGAACGTTGAAAAGAATATTAGAAGCAAATATTTGTTACTTACGTATAGTACCAATGCTAAAGAATGCTGCGTAAAAAGTAGCAACTGCAGTGAAAATTAAATGCATCCTTTTTATTTGATCTTTGTTAACCACCGAATACAAAAAATAATTTTCTTAATTATGAGTGTTTTTGATTTTTGTCAGATTTAATAGTTAGTACTGAAGATTCGGGCAACTAATGAAATCTCAAATTCTAGCCGTTGAGCCTATTGTTAGCTGGTATCCCCCACTAGTAAATTTATCCATGCCTAACTTATCGATGAGGTAGTTATGTAAGCGCGCTTTTCTGGCATAATTGGGCACTTCCTTGTCTTAGGGTTTAGATCTCCTGGATCTGCAGTTAGAATATAACGGTTTGTAATAAGAGTTCCTGTGTAGTGATGTATTTTTTTTGTTTCCAAACAAACATTTTTTAAGAAAAATGTAAATTTATAAATCTTATAAACATGAAATATTAAATAATAAGATATTTAATTCATGATTTTATTATTTTCAATGCACATAAAATTATTTTACTAATGTAAATCAATATATTTAATTTCTTTTGAAGTGAAAACTTCTTTAGAATAGGGAGTGATCTGAAAAAAATGAAACACAGTCCGTCAGGCAACGGAGCGGTAGGCGGCTAGGCAACGGAGCTGCGGGCGGCTTGTAACGGCCGTGATATTTAGTAAGAAGAGAAAAAGAGACAAACATTTAAAATTGAGCCTGCGAGAGAATGAGATAGAATATAGCTATACATTATTTTTCCTATTCTCAGCCTCCTCTTTATGTTCTGCTTCGTAGTATCGCTCCTGGTTTTATATGTGTGTGTTTGTGTGTGACTGCATACTACGAAGCGTAGACACATATAGAATATTTTCGGTACTATACCTGTTTGTAGATAGGAGCGATAGAAGGGTAGAAGAATAAACAGAGATGAGCGCGTAGGTATGCGACAAAAAAATAAGGTTCAAACGAACCGATGGTCTAAATAAAGAAAGAAGATGTGAAATCTGGCTTTGTAAGTTGTATATGTGTGTAAGTCTGTGTGAATCTGAAAGGTATATATATACGTGTCACTTCTTTTCTATTTTTCTATTCTATTTTTCTGTTTTTCTATTTCTATTTAAAAATGTTTCTATTTTATTGAAAAATTAATATTAAATTCTTTATTTCGCAAATATTATCTTTAATAATTATGAAATGTATAGAATATAATAATTGTATTGTCTGCAATAGTTTACAAAAAAAAAAAACAAATGATTACAAGATACATCAGAGTAAAAGAATTAGACAACAGTGTAGAATATTTTTCTTATAGATATCCAAAGACATGTTTTTTAATTATAATGTTTGCGTATTTAGGAAATTTATACTAATTTTTCAATAAAATAGAGAAGTTTTTAAATTGAGGAAACTGGACACGTGAAACAAACAAATATTATTTGCTATTATATTTCTAATAAAAATACAATAATATAACTTATTTTAAAAATATAGAAAAAAATATAGAAAAAAAAATTTTTTTTTTTAATTTTTATTATAAAATACAACAACGAAAATGAAAAATAGATTTAAAAATCGTTGTAATTCAAAACCCAAAAAAACGAAAACAATACAAACACAACTGTTCCCTTTTTTAACAGTATCTACAGGTATTAGTTGCAACACAAAAAGAAATTCGTTGCTGCAATTGCAGCAAAATGCGACGAACGCTTTATAAGCGATACCGAAAAACGAGTACCAGGACTGCTTTCAAAAGCGGAAAGGGCGTTGGGAGCGTGTTATTCAATCAATTAGGGACTACTTTGAAGGATGTCATAAGCCAGACGACAAAGAGTAACTTCGGGGGAGAAATATGGAGGTAAGTCGGATACTTTTAGGACACACCTCGTACGTGTGATATATTTCTTGTTAAATTCCTGTAATTGGGTTAAAAACCGTTACATTCATTTCTCGTTATATCAATAAGAATGCGAGTAATACTAACGGTCGTTAATGATAATAAAAAGGTTTAACGTATTTATATATATATATATATAACATAGACGTCAATGGAATACGTCATCCGCGAATTCATACGCAATGACATGTTCTGATGAAGGAAACTACATTCATTTTAAGACAAGGAAAAATTTTCGATGAGTAATGGTTCCTCATTATTTAAATAAACCTAACATAAATTCCAACAAAATAATTGTTTCTTCAGTAATGCGTCAGCACGTTGACAGCCATATCTCAAATCTCGTGAACGTCTACAAAAATTTTCAAAAAAAATAGATACCCATGGTATATGTTTAATGAACCATGTAAAATTTTTCACAACCATTTGTTACATATAAGTGCATATGCACATTAGTAAATTATCAGTTAAAATGTCAAGAGCATCGTATTTGTGACATGCTGCACATTGAAAATTACGTTATCTTAAAAATGGCGCATTACGAAGTAAAAATTTAATCGATATCAAAATATAAATATGAAATTCTTGTCTGACATTAAGTATTATAAAATTGAATTATATTTTTGTAAAATTCGCTTAAAAATAAACGTAAGAGAACAAATTAAAAGTAATTTAAAATGTATTCTATGGTCGAGTGATATTCTTTATGGGAATTTCCATACGATATATTAACTTTCTATCAAGTTACATTAAAAATATTGTAGATAAGTTGAAAGAGGAAATTCCAAGATCGAGTATCCGCTATCGGCTATTTCGTTTGCATTGAAAATATAATATTTTATTGATTAAATTTTGATTGACATTGATTAAATAAGCAAATAGTGTTAAGAATAAAAACAATAATACGAAGTATTTCTATAATTATCTACTACAGAAAATAGAGTCGCACTTTCATAATGATAATGTTATTGACATTTATGCTATATATTTTTTTAAATTTTTATTAACCCCAGTTGTAACGATAACCTTAAGAAGTAAAATGATCTTTATATATCATTTGGTATATTTAGAAACTTTCTCCCGATTTAATATTGATCGCAATATTGTTCGAATTTTCATTCATGTATTAAGGAGAATAATTACAAAAAATGTCGAATTATAGGTATGAAAAATAGAAAAAAATTGAGTATTACCTTTTATTGTTTCTATGTTAATAAAAACAAAAACTTATTAACTTCAAAAACATGAAAAACAATTAAAATACCAAAATATGTACAAAATTTATCTCAAGTATAAAAATTATTAGAAATATTATTATACTAATAGAGAAGTAGTTGATCTAATTTTAACAGCAAAATGATAAAAAATTTTTATCCAATAAATGATACACTTTCTTAAGGTCTCATTTTACTAATTATCCATGGAATGAAATCATATACATTCGTATAGACACTAGGCAAACCAGCAGGACCACAATTACTAGGACCAACGGATACGATTCCTACGGCTGTCCATATTTTATCATTATTAGGTAAGTCACGAAAACCCATAAGTAGACCACCGGAATCTCCATAACATGCATCTCTACCTTTTTCACCACCGGCACGAATTTGTTCAACACCAAACTCTCTCTTCAATAGATATCTGTACAAACTATTGTACGAATCTTTGTCAAAGAGTTGTACCGAAACTTTAAGATGAACACGTCAAAGTTTTACCCCAACCCGCTCCATACAATATTTTATTAATTATAGAAGATCTAGGTAAACAAATAGGCTTAACATAATAGGTAGAAACAATGTCTCTTGATAATCGCACTAATCTGATTTCATAATTAAAATTTATTTCGAGATGTAATTCGAATAGTACATGTATAAATGATTCCTCGATCTCAACACTGATTGAACCATCAGAACAAATATTCTCGTCATCACGTTTAACGCAATTCGTGGATGAACACAAATCATGTACTCCAAATCGTACATTTGACAGTATAGACAGTGGACGTTCCATCAAACAATTAGCTGCAGTAAGAACATAACGTTTCCTTATTAGTGATCGTAAGCATTTAAGTCTACTATTGTTTCCTACAAGTAATTATAACAGAAATATGTGGATTATTAAAAACTATAAACGTGAACCTTTAGATAATAATATTCCAAATACAGGATTTGTTTAAAATTTAAGCTAATAAATTTATCTTATAAATTTTAATCATTACATAAAATTTTAGTGCATAAAAAATCTTTAGGTTTATTATTAAAAGATGTATATTTATGGACGATATGAGAACTAGAATAAAAATGCTCACCTGTTTTATACTCAAGTAGTGCCATCCATGGAAATTCGCCAGGGGAAGTATTTGCTGATTCTAAATTTCGAGGTATCGAATCTCTCCCACATTCGCTTAGTAACACGGAATTTTCGAGAAATTTCATAATATCATCACTACAATTTACATTCTTTAATGTGCTAATTGAGGCATCTGTAGATGTTACTAACAATGTATTCAAATTGGGATTAGACGAATTAATATTAGGAGGGCAGCATACGAGTGGAACTAGTTCATCGAAACCACATTGGGAATCTTTTAAATAGTCAATAGTATCTTTACGAAGAGGTTTTTCTTCTAGTTTTTTTAATAATGGTGTACATTGATATATGCTAATACAATTTCCAGCAATTCCATTTGGTGTAGTACAATTGAAGGATTCTAAGTTTTTATGGATGAAAAATGCATTTTATGAATTTTTAAGAAATAGGAATAACTCAAATTTCTTTTAGTATTTTGTATAATTATAATAATGTTACTTATTCAAATGTAAGTACAATTTCGGAAGAGTCGAATATTTACGTTGCTGACATAATCTTAACATATGATGTTTTCATCTGACATACTAAATTATCTTAATAATATACCATATTTTATAATAAAAGTATAAATATTTTACTTAATAATTAAATTTTTCATATATATAATAGTTTAAAAAACATATTTAATTAAAAATGCAATACTATAATTCTTTTAAATCATTGCATCGCAAATACTGCAAAAAAAAATCTTTTTTCAACGTTATGGATTCTTTTTAATTACATTGATTCAAGTTTTGACGTATGATTTCAAAAATTGAACATGAAAAAGAATAAAAATAGCAAATATTTTTTACTTACGTGCATCAACAATGCTAAACGATGATATGTAAAAGGTAGCAACYGCAGTAAATAATACATACATACTTTTTATTTGATATTTCTTAAGCAACGAAAAACAAACAATACATTCCGTGACTACGAGTGTTTTTAATTTACCACATATCTTTTAACTAAGACTTAAGTCTCGAAAAACTACTGAAATCATAAATAATTGTACAGCCGAGGAGCCCATGGTCAAATGGTATCCCCCACTATTTTGTTTATATTTCCGCCTTAATTATCTCTGATTTTATCCGTAAATTGTTCTATTATTAAACCTCTGAGAATATTCACTGTTTTAATGTTTCCGCATTTCTACTAAAATTGTATGCAACGAAACGTAAGAGAATCTCTTCATAATTAGTAACAAGTTCTTTCTTGTTAGAGGAACTACAAATTTTATGTTCATTTTGTTTTGTTTTAGAATTTCATATAAAATTACTGCGATTAATTTATGCTCTAAATTTTTTTTTATGTAATCCATATTGAACTTTTAAGAAAGAGTCTTTTACAATTTTATGAATCGTTTTTTGATCATGCGAATTATTATATAGATGGATTAGATATCTCGTTTTTAAATTTGATTGGAAAGAATTTTACGACATTACATGTGAAACATAAAATGGAATTATAGTCAATTATCTATCATCTATTTATCTTTTCAATATTTTTATAATTCCTAGTTTTAATGATAACCTTTAGAAATGTATTGGTTAACATGGATCATTTTGAATATAGTATATATATAAAATTTTCACTTGGTTTAACATTTGTTGAGCGAGTGTTTATTATCATTCATATATTGGTTATAATAATTATTATCAATGTCGATTTATAGGTATTTAAAATTGTAAAAATAAGTGTTATATTTATTGTTTCGATGTTGATACCAAAAAAAAAACAGAATGAATAACTCCTAAATATGAACGAAGATTAATATATCATTATGTACAATGTGAATGTTATCTAAGTAGAAAGAATTTAAAAAAGTTATAATCTTTTAAAAGATATACCTTTTCAAGGCCTTATTTTACTAATTATCCATGGAATGAAATCATATACTTTTGTATAAACAGTAGGCCAACCAACGGAACCACAATGTTTATTACCAAAGGATACGATTCCTTCGGCTGTCCATATTTTATCACCATTAGGTAAATAACGAAAACCCATAAGTGGTCCACCGGAATCTCCATAACATGCATCTCTATCTTTTTCACCACCGGCACAAATTTGTTCAAAGCTTAGATTTAAGTGAGAATTTGATCTGTAAATTCTTTCACATGTATCTTTGTCAACGAGTGGTAACGAAACTTTAAGCTTAACATTTGAAGATAAACTCGTCAAAGTTCTACCCCAACCAGCTGCGTACAATCTTTTATCGATTACAGAAGATCTAGGCAAACATATAGGCTTAACATAATAGGTCGAAACAATGTCTTTTGATAATCGAACTAATCCGATATCATAATTTTTATTTATTTTAGTATATAGTTCGTATAGTTCATGTTTTAATGTTTCCTCGACCTCAACACTGATTGAACCATCAGAACATATATTCCCGTCATCACCATTAACGCAATTCGTAGATGAACGCAAATCATGCACTCCTAATCTTACTCTTGATAATTTCCATAGAGGACGTTCTATCAAACAATGTGCAGCAGTGAGAACATAACGTTTGCTTATAAGTGCTCCTAAGGCTTTAAAGTCACTAATGTTTCCTGAAAGTAATTATAACAAAAAAATGTAGATTATTAAAAACAATAAAAATAAGCCTTTAGATAATAATATCTTAAATACAGGATTGATTTAAGATTTAATTCAATAAATTTGTCTTGTAAATGTTAATTATTACATTCAGTTTTAGTGCATAACAAATACTTAGGTTTATTATTAGAAAATCTAGATTTATGTGAAAGATTTAGAATTAAAATAATAATACTCACCATTATTATATTCCAATAATACCAACCATGGAAATTCGCCAAGGGTAGTAGTTGCTGATTCTAAATCTCGAGGTGTCGAATCTTTACCACAATCACTTGGTAACAAGGGATTATCGAGTAATTTAATAATAGCGTCATTAATATTTACATTCTGTAATGTGCTTATTGAGGTTTCTGTAGATATCTCTAACGGTTTATTCAAATTGGCATTAGACGAGTCAATGTTAGGAGGACAGCATACGAGTGGAACTAGTCCATCGAAACCACATTGAGAACCCTTTAAATAGTCAATAGTTTCTTGACGAAGAGGTTTTTCTTCTAGTTTTTTTAATAATGGTGTACATTGATGTATGCTAATACAATTTCCAGCAATTCCATTTGGTGTAGTACAATTAGGTGAATCTGGATATTCTATGAAARAAAAATATATTTTATGAATTTTCAAGAAATAAGAATTTGTCACATTTCTTTTAATTTTTTGTATAATTATAATGATGTTACTTATTCAAATGTAATTTCAATTTCGAAAGATTCGAATGTTAAGTCTTTTAACATAATCTTAACATTTGATGGTTTCATCTGACATATTAAATTATCTTAATAATATACCATATTTTATAAAAAAGTATAAATATTTTACCTAATAATTTAATTTTTCATATATATAATAGTTTATAAAACATATTTAATTAAAAATGCAATACTATAATTCTTTAAATCTATGTATCTCAAACACTGCAAATATAATTCTTTTATCAACGTTATAGATTATATTTAATTGCAATGATTCAAGTTTTGACGTATGATTTCAAAAATTGAACATGAAAAAGAATAAAATAGCAAATATTTTTTACTTACGTGCATCAACAATGCTAAACGATGATATGTAAAAGGTAGCAACTGCAGTAAATAATACATACATACTTTTTATTTGATATTTCTTAAGCAACGAAAAACAAACAATACATTCCGTGACTACGAGTGTTTTTAATTTACCACAGATCTTTTAACTAAGACTAAAGTCTCGGACAACTACTGAAATCAGAAATGATAGTACAGACGAAGAGCCCATGGTCAACTGGTATCCCCCACTATTTTGTTTATATTTTCGTCTTAATTATCTCGGATTTTATCCGCGAATTGTTCTATTATTAAACCTCTGAGAATATTCACTGTTTTAATGTTTCCGCATTTCTACTAAAATTGTATGCAACGAAACGTAAGAGAATTTCTTCATAATTAGTAACAACAAGTTCTTTCTTGTTAGAGGAACTATAAATTTTATGTTCATTTTGTTTTGTTGAACAATTTTATATAAAATTATTGCTATTAATTTATGCTATAATTTTTTTTATGTAATCCATATTAAACTTTTAAGAAAGAGTCTTTAACAATTTTGTGAATCGTTTTTTGATCATGCGAATTATTATATAGATGGATTAGATATCTCGTTGTTAAATTTGATTGAAAAGAATTTTACGTCACTACATGTGAAACATAAAATGGAATTATAGTCAATTATCTATCATCTTTTTTTTTTAATATTTTTATAATTCCTAGTTTTAATGATAACCTTTAGAAATGGATTGGTTATCACAGATCATTTTGAATATAGTATACATATAAATTTTTCACTTTGTTTAATATTTGTTGAGCGAGTATTTGTTCTCATTCATATATTGGTAATAATAATTAAAATCTATATCTATTTATAGATATTAAAAATTGTAAAAATAAGGATTATTTTTACTGTTTTGATGTTGATACAAAAGAAAACAAAGTGAATTTCTCCTAAAACATGACGATAGATTATTTGATCATTATGTATTATGTGAATGCTATGTAAATAGAAAAAATGTAAAAAAGTTTTATTAAATAAAAGATATACATTGTTAAGGTTTTATTTTACTAATTATCCATGGAATTAAATTATATACATTAACAGAAACTGTAGGCCAACCAGCTATAGCACAATATCTAGGTCCAAAAGATACGACTCCTACGGCTGTCCATATTTTATCACCATTAGGTAAATCCTGATAAGCCATAAGTGGTCCACCTGAATCACCACGACATGTATTTCTACCTCCCTCCCCCCCGGTACAAATATGTTCAAAAGTTAGAGTTATATTCAATTGTGATTTATACAATTTCTTACAGTTCTCTTTGTCAAAGAGAGGTAAAGAAACTTTAAGTTTAACATTCGAGGAATTACTCGTCGAAGTTGCACCCCAACCAGCTGCATACAATCTTTTTTTGATCATAGAAGATCTAGGCAAACAAATCGGCTTAATATAATTAGTCGAAACAATGTCTTTTGATAATCGCACTAATGCGACATCGTATTCGATAAATTGCCTCGATAATATAAATAAATCATGTTTCATTGTTTCCTCGACCCCTACTCTGATCGAACCATCAGAACATATTTCAATGCCATCACGTTTAACGCAATTTTGAGCTGAAGTCAGATTGTATACGCCTAATCGTACGTACAACAATTTCCCAATTGTTGTGTTGCTTAAACAATGAGCTGCAGTTAGAACGTAACGTTTAGTAATGAGACTTCCAGTACAAAAAACTTTTCTGTTCAATCCTGAAAAAATATAATAACAGAAAGATATTGATTACCGTAAACTATTAATATGAATTTTAAGAAAATAATATTTTTTATTCAGAACTTGTTTAACATTTAAGTAAATAAATTAGTCTTGTAAATGCTAATCATTACATTAAGTTTTAGTGCAAACCGAATACTTAGGTATATTAATAAAAAATCTAGATTTATGGATGACATAAAACTAGAATAATAATGCTCACCATTATTATATTCCAATAATACCATCCATGGAAATTCGCTAGGGCTAGTTTCTACTGTTTCCAAATCTCGAGGTATCGAATCTCTTCCGCAATCACTTGGTAACAAGGGATTATCGAGTAATTTGATAATAGCGTCATTATTATTTACATTCTCTAATGTGCTTATTGAGGTTTCTGTAGATATTTCTAACGGTTTATTCAAATTGGGATTAGACGAATTAATGTTAGGAGGACAGCATACGAGTGGATCTAATCCATCGAAACCACATTGAGAACCCTTTAAATAGTCAATAGTTTCTTGACGAAGAGGTTTTTCTTCTAGTTTTTTTAATAATGGTGTACATTGATGTATGCTAATACAATTTGCTGCAATTCCATTTGGTGTAATACAATTGGGTGATTCTAAATTTTTTGTGAAAGAAAAATATATTTTATGAGGTTTAAAGAAATAAGAATTTTTCAATCTTCTTTCAGTATTTTGTATAATTATTATAATAAATATATTCTAACGCAAGTTCGATTTCAAAACTTTCGAATAATGACACTGATTAATTCATTGTAATAAATAATATTTTGATGGGACATATTATATTATCTGTGTGTGCGTGTGTGAATAATGTAAAATATTATTGTAATAATAGCATTTATATTTTATGTTATAATTTAATTTAATTTTTTCAAATCAATATATCTCATATATTTTAAATTAATTATTTTAGTGAAGTTATTAATTATATTTAATTGTGCCCACAATTATGAAGATAGTCTAAATCATGTATCTATTGTTTCAAGGATTATATTTTAAAACTAAATGAGTTCTTTATAATAGCGAAATAACGAACACTGTCTTACTCTTAAACCACTTCCATGATTATGGTTACAATTACATTGATTCAAATGTTAAAGAATTCTTTGATAAGTCAAACGAAGATAAAAGGATAAGGATAAAAATAGCATATATTTTATTTTACTTTTTTGATTACTTACGTGTATTAACAACACTAAACGATGATACGTAAAAGGTAACAATGATGAATAAAGATAAATATATCATTTTTATTGGATCTGTATTAAACGATTAAAAGCAAAGAATAAATTCCTTGGATAACGAATGTCTTAGATTGACCACGGAACTTATGCTTAAGCCTGAAGTCCCGGACAATAACTGGAAACGCAAATGATTGTGCGGCTACAGACTTGGTCAACTGGTATCCCCCACCATTGCGTTTATATATGCGACTAAATTGCCTCAAGGTATAAATCTACGTATTATATGATTTGACCATATTTAAATGACCATCAAAACCACAATAAGAACCCTTTAAATAGTCAATAGTTTCTTGACGAAGAGGTTTTTCCTCTGGTTTTTTTAATAATGGTGAACATTTATGCATGCTAATACAATTTCCAGAAATTCTATTTGGTGTAGTACAATTTGGTGATTCTAAATTTTTTATAGATGAAAAATGCATTTTATGAATTTTCAAGAAATAGAAATTACTCAAATTTCTTTTAGGATTTTGTATAATTATGATGATGTTACTTATTCAAATGTATGTTTCATTTCGGAAGATTCGAATATTTACGTTGCTAACATAATCTTAACATATGATAGTTTCATCTGACATACTAAATTATCTGAATAATATAAGATATTATTATAATACAAGTATATATATCTTACGTAATAATTAAATTTTTCATAAAATAGTTAAATCGGTTAATGTAATTTACAATAAAATACTATAATTCTTTCAAATCAATGTATCTTCAATATTGCAAATATAATCTTTTTATCAACTTTATTAATAAAATATAATTACATTGATTCATTTTTTAACGAATGTTTTCATAAATTGAACGCTAATAAGAATAAAAATAGCAAATATTTTATTACTTACGTGAATCAACAATAGTAAACAATGATGAGTAAAAGGTGGCAATTACTGTTAAAATTAAATACATCCTCCTAATTTGATCTTTGTTAAATAACGAAAAACAAACAATACATTCCGTGATTACGAGTGCTTTTGATTTACCACAGAACTTTTAACTAAGACTAAAGTCTCGGAAAACTACAGAAATCATAAATGACTGTACAGCCGAAGAGCCCATGGTCAAGTGATATCCCCTACCATTGTATTTATATTTCCGCTTAAAGTATCTCTGATTTTATCCGCGAAATGTTCTATTATTAAACTTCTGACAATATTTACTGTTTCGATTTTTTCACATATCTACTAAAATTGTATACAACGAAACTTATGAGAATCTCTTCATAATTAGTATCAACAAGTTCTTTCTTGTTAGAGGAACTACAAATTTTATGTTCATTTTGTTTTGTTTTAGAATTTCATATAAAATTCCAGCGATTAATTTATGCTCTAAATTTTTTTATGTAATCCATATTTAACTTTTAAGAAAGAGTCTTTAACAATTTTGTGAATCGTTTTTTGATCATGCGAATTATTATATAGATGGATTAGATATCTCGTAGTAAAATTTGATGGGAAAGATTTTAATGACATTACATGTGAAACATAAAATGAAAATATACTCAATTTTTTATCATCTATTTTTTTTTTTAAATATTTTTAATTATCCTAGTTTCATGATCACTTTTAGATATGGATTGATTATCACGGATCATTTTGAATATAGTATTATATATAAATTTTTCACTATGTTTAATATTTTTTGAAGGAGTGATTATTCTCATTCATATATTAGTTATAATAATTATAATGTAGGAAAAAAAGACTAGTGTTAAGTTCTTTTCTTTATATTTTATTTTCTGGAAAAAGAAAACTCTATTCAGAGACTAAAAGAAAAGATTAGGAGGGCCATAAAACTATAAACAAACCTAAGAATTATCGAGATATATAGACGCGATGAATACCGTTTGTGCGGTGTCGGGACCTTTGAGAAGTTTCAGATTCCTATCTAAACACGTACGATACCATAAATAAATAACATTACGATATTCTAGATCAAATTTTTTTATGTCTAGTTTCCACTACCAAAAAAAACATAGGTTGTACCCATCGGTGGACCATGGAGTGAATCCTTATGCTATTGGTCAATAAAATTCATAATCTCCTTCCCTCTCCAAAGGGGTGTAGCTCATTTTTGATATAAATATGTGGAAAGAAGTAAGAAAATGTCCTTAGTGCTCAGTCTGTATCTGTCCTTAATTAGTTTTTAGTCTGTATCAGTCCTTAATCAGTCTTTAGTCTTCAATCCTTAGTTAGTCCGTCTGTATCTGTCTGTGTGTTATTTGTTATTCTGCAAATCAGTCTGTCGGTCTTATATTTGTAACCCTTTTGTATTCTGTATTTTTGTAACCACGTCACTTTTTGTAAACTTATGTAAATATCGCTCGACATCACATCATCATAATTTAATAAACTATATTTTATCAAGTTTAGTTTTATATTTCTCCCTGTCTGAACCCCCACAATAATCAATATCGATTTGAAGGTATTAGAAATTGTAAAAATAAGGATTATGTTTACTGTTCCGAATTTTTAACAAAAAAAAAACAAAAATAAATTCATCTTAAGACATGACGAAAGATTAATATATCTATAAGTACAAAGTGAATGTTATTTAAATAGAAAAATATTATTACATTTCTATTAAATAAATGATATACTTTCTTAAGGTCTCATCTTACTAATTATCCATGGAATGAAATCATACACTTTAGTATAAACGCCAGGAATATTAGTATGACCGCAAGGAGTAGGACCAAAGGATACGATTCCTACAGCTCTCCATATTTTATCACCATTAGGTAAATCCTGAAAATCCATAAGTGGTCCACCAGCATCACCACTACATGAATCTCTATCTTTTTCACCACCGGCACAAATTTGTTCTACACTTAAAGTTAGGTTCGTGAGATATCTGTACAAACTATTGCAACGATCCCGGTCAAAGAGTGGTACCGAAACTTTAAGCTTAACATTTGAAGATAAACTCGTCAAAGTTTTACCCCAGCCCGCTACATACAATATTTTATTGATTATAGAAGATCTAGGCAAACAAATAGGCTTAAAATAATAAGTCGAAACAATGTCTTTTGATAATCGCACTAATCCAATATCATAATAACGTTTGGTATTATATAGTTCGTATAGTTCATGTATGAATGATTCCTCGATCTCAACACTGATTGAACCATCAATACAAATGTTCTCGTTATCACGTTTAACACAATTCGTTGATGAACGCAGATCGTGCACTCCTAATCGTACACTTGACAATATCCACGTTGGACGTTCTATCAAACAATGTGCTGCAGTAAGAACATAACGTTTGCTTATAAGTGCTCCTAAGCATGGAGATACAGTATTGGTTCCTAAAAGTAATTATAACAGAAAAATGTGGATTACAAAAAACTATAACCTTGAACCTGTAGATAATAATATCTTAAATACAGGATTTGTTTAATATTTAAGAAAATAAATTTATCTTGCAAATTTTAATCATTACATTCAGTTAAGGTGCATAGCAAATCTTTAGGTTTGTCATTAGAAGGTTTAGATTCACATATTATTATTATTATTAAAATTACAATAATAATACTTACCATTATTATATTCCAATAATACCAACCATGGAAATTCGCCAAGGGTAGTAGTTGCTGATTCTAAATCTCGAGGTATCGGATCTCTACCACAATCACTTGGTAATAAGGAATTATCGAGTAATTTAATAATAGCGTCATTAATATTTACATTCTGTAATGTGCTTATTGAGGTTTCTGTAGATATTTCTAACGGTTTATTAAAATTGACATTAGACGAATTAATGTTAGGAGGACAGCATACGAGTGGAACTAGTCCATCGAAACCACATTGAGAACCCTTTAAATAGTCAATAGTTTCTTGACGAAGAGGTTTTTCTTCTAGTTTTTTTAATAATGGTGTACATTGAT